TAGTATACGATATACCTTCATATGTAGGTACCTTCATAGTATATCATAGTATATAAAAATACTTCTTATAACCCATTCGACCACAAAATATTTCGACTATATTAATAAAATATTCGATTATCTGTTTTTCGACCAAAAAAAGATTCGATCACATGACACTTCGATCGCTTTTTTTCGATAACTAAACCTTCGACCAAATGACTCGCACCGTCCAACATTATTTTGTTTAGAAATTAAATTATTACACATACCTAATTTATACTTAGATATATCAATATACAATTTGTTAATACTAAAATACAATAACAAGATTGAAAAATAGAAATTTATTTTAGGGACATGTTTAAAGTTTTCATTSCTCATTTTATTTGTTTAGTCTTGGAGAGATTTAAAGACAAAAGTCTCTAAAAAGTCATACAATCTTAGACATGCCAAAAGACAAACAGGAAATAAAACCATCGAGCTTCAAGAATTAAATGAGTTAGATAAAAAAGGCATGGGGTTAATTGGTCACGAGTATGAGGGGACACCATGTCCAGAATCCTTTCCAAATGAAGTGGTTTGTCACTTGATTTGTTGTTTTTGAGTGTTCTTTAATCATCAATTATTTAAAAATTATTAAATTTGTTTTGCAGCCTGATTCTATTGAAGAATTAGCTAGAGGTAATACTAGTGTGTTAAATGTAGTACCTACTCCAAATATTACAGAAACATATGGTTAGTAATTGTGTACTATATTTATTTATAATATTTATATAATATATTCAGTGGCTTAAATTGGGCAAATTTTAGGGTTTGCAAAAGTTCTCAAAATATCAGATCCATGGGTGGCTTGACTCCCCCCTCCACCAATACCTCCAACTCTTTTTACTGTTTTGCATACTATATGTACCTACCTTTGAAGGTACTCACTACACATCTTTTGGCAGGACTTCCTTCGATAAAAATATAAATAAATTGTATATATTAACATTCCAAAATTTAAACGACTACCTCTAGTTTTAATAACATTGAACTACGTTTTTTTTTCTGTTTCGCTTTAAACAACTCGTAAGAAAGTTTTTCAAAATTGTTGATAATTTTTTCTTGAGAACATGTTAGAAAAACAAATATTTCTTACGAAGGTAAACTAAGTTCAACCATCTCCGTAGTATCCTATAATAGAAACAGTTTTAACATTTTCCACAAATTGAAAATTGAAGATTTTTGTTTTACAAATTTTTTTTTTTAAATCACTAGGTATATTCCAAAATCATTGAATTTTGTTTTTTTTTTTTAGAAAAACTCAAAACACAATGAATTTAACTTATCATAATACACAATTTAATCACCAACATCTGTAGTCCTATTTAGGTATTATCTAACTAAGGATTACTCAAATTTTGACATGGAATTTGTATTACTAGAATATTGCCAGGATGATGATGCAATATATGACAATATTTAAGTATTAGAAGCTTCCATCGTGGACAATTCAGAAAATTCAGCCATTGTGGACGGCTTATTACATATTACTCCTATATCAATTGAGACAGCCTCGAGTAGTCAGTCTGAAAACGTTGGTATTACAAATGTAAAAAAAAAAAATGTAAGTATTTGAGAAATACGCATATACAATTATTTATCTAATATTGTATTAATGTAATTTGTTATATTAATAAAGATGTTAAACTTAACACTCAATTCAGTACAGCACGTGAAGTATTCACAMATTTGGCAACCACGAACAGTCAATAAATAGAGGTTAATATTAAATATAATAATTTTTTCTAGAGACATAAATTAATTAACTGAAATGTTCTAGTTGATTACAAGTACCTTGAGTATCATTGCGGAAAACAATAAAAGAATGTCAGATGCAATGGTAAAAATGGCGGAGAATGATGACAGACGAACGCAAATAGAGGAAAAATTGTTAGATTTGTTGTGTACTATTTCTACCAAATTAAATTAATCTATAATATTTTTAGGAAAAAAAGCGATCATATTACACCTTATAAATTTTGTTTTCATTTTATTGTTTTACACGGAGTTATAAATTTTATTTTTATTTTATTGTTWTACATGAAGTTTTAYATTTTATTTTTTGTTTTATWTTTGTATAAGGAAATACTTTTACCTATTTGTATTTACATTAACCTATTTTATGCATCACTATCAATATACCCAGGAAACCAATCTTGCATTAATTGTTTTTGAATACGCATTGCTACAGCTCTAGGGCTTCCTCTCATGGCAACATAATTTTTGTGGCAAATTCCTTTCATTATAATTATTGATATTCCTGTTGTMAATATTTTCTTCTTCTATGGGTATGTAGTAATGGATACGCATATTGTGGAGAACTGCATAAGCATTTACAATTTTTTCTGTCATAACGGGAGAATACATTAACACCCGTTGATAGGAAAGACATCTCCATACACTTTTAAACACCCCAAAAAATCTTTCGATTACATTTCTTGCCTTATAATGTTTTAAAGTATATTTTAATTGTCGAGTGCCTTCTCTATAATGTGGAAATGGAGTCATTAGCCATGGCTCCAATGGATAGCCAGAATCACCTAGAGTAAAATAATATAACATATATATATATATATATATATATATATATATATATAACTTATAAATTATAATATTACATTCAATTAAATTACTTTATCAATTTCAATAATTTAGTTTACTTAAAAATGAAAAAAATATTTAAATTACATTTTTTTTTTGTAAAATTATTACCAATAAGCCAAGTATGGCGTTTGCCCTGATTGTAATGATATTCCATTGCACGACGAATGGGTGATGTGCTACATACATATGAATCATTTCTGGCTCCTGGATATCTTGGATTGATATTTAAAATTTTCAGTTTTGGGCTAACTATCTAATAAATTAATTTGTATAAATCCATAAATTAATTAAAACATTTCTATACATACTGCTTGAACATTCAATTTGATTTCCATGATGGTTAACATAAGCTTCTTCGTGATCTTTAGGTGCAACGATATTAATGTAGGTACAATCAATGGCACCAATTGCACCTTCAAATGGTTGTGGTGCATTTTTAAATTCTTCACGTGCTACATTTCTACCTCCATTTGTCATTGGAAAGGTTACCCATTGCCTTAAGAGCCTATCATTTATAACATTAGTTACACTATGTAGACACCTACTAACTGATGGCTGTCTAATATTCAAATCAAAATGATCACCAGTAGAACGTTGGTAGCTACCTTTTGCATAAAAATAAACTGCTGCTAATACTTATAATCCAAACAAAATAAACATGAATTTTATAAGCCTTTGTATGTTATTTTATAAATGGACGTACGAAAGTACATTTTTAAATTTTAAACTATCCAACTATAATAGGTAAAAAATAAAAAWAATAATATTAACTATAGGCACCTCCCTAGGTTTGGTTTTTGTTAAATCAAGAATTTTGTAATACTTTAGTCTAAGCATTGTTTTCTATTATTTTAATAAAAAAAGTACCTGAATATCCACAGAAATTCCAGAGTTTCGCTCTCGTTGAAGGAAAGGTCGAAGAGTATTGGTTAAGTCCATTGATAATTCAGGACTTAGACGAAACACATTCATAAATTCTCTTCTTGGCAGTTCATAAGGATTTTGAGTGTCACGTAAAATTCGTCTTTCTATCCGCCTCTCAACTAGCCTAAGTCTTTCCTCTAATACTTCCAACTCATATCCCAAAAAATACAAAGCCATGTTTTGTTTTGAGTTTTGATTTAAAACTTTTATACACTCAATATTTAAAATAATAATTAAGAAGTCTTTAGTGTATCACATTTTAATATAAATGTTAAACTAATTGTTACTATGTACTATAAAATGTAGGTATGACGTTTAACGATTACACATTGCAATATAACATTCGATAAGGCTTAACGGTCCTTCTAAAAGGTCCGTTCCGGTATCGAATATTTTCGACAATAATTTTACAGTTAATGATTAATATCGTTATCAATTATTAATTAATTAATTTCTGCTATTGTCAATAATATTCAATTCGATAGCTTAACGAACCTAAATTATTCGATAAGGCCTCTTATCGAGTTACAGAATAGAGCTACTGTCCGGAATTACCCCGTTTTACGGTATGGCAAACTTGACAATTTTTCGGCTTTCCCTTATGAAAACTACTTACAACACATAAAAAAAATTATTCAACCTGGCCATAATCCTTTGGTTCAATTATATAACTGGATAAAAGAAGAACATGAATTTCATATTTCCAATTTAGAACAGCAAATTCATTTTAATGCATTTTCATGTAGCTAATCTATTGATGGTCATCATTTTCTAGGGCCTCTAGGGCAATATGTTATTTGATTCTATATCTCAGTATTCAACGGTCATCTTAGAAAACTTAAGTATCAGAGTTCAAAACTCCAAACGTAGAAGTAGTAAAAAAGATGACTGTGTTATCATGTCTTCAAATATAGTATGCCTTGTTAAAATATATATTAAATCGAAATGGTGAAATATACATGGTATGCTTAACGTTTAAAAACACAATTCCTTTATATGACTCTCCTTGCCCTTCTACATCTATTGGCATGTATCAATGTAGCAAATTATCAACCACAGTTCAACTTTTCAATATTAAAGACATCTAATATAAAGCTTGCTATATTCATCTTACAGAAGCACCAGAAATTTTTTATCGCATGTGTGTTAGAAAGTTTAATTTAGTAATTCCTTGATATTTTCAATATAATAATATAATTAATTTTTTTTAAATATTTTTCTAATTTTTTATTAATTATATTTGTATAGCATGTCAAAATCTAATCAATTGTATATCATTGTTGTCTCGGATAATGGTCAAATATCAGCAATTCCTAATATGTAATGATGATTTGCCAGTCATTGGGCTAATATATCAATGGCACTGCCCACCATCTTTTTCATTTAAAAACATACAACARTATGAAAAGGCTTAAAATCACTGTGATAAAAAGGGCACCGTTTTAAACATGACAGGTAAATATTAATCATTGTASTATATCAGAGGTATCAAATTATTTTGATGTTATGTGCCAAAAATTAACTTTTTACTCTTTTTTTTTTGAACGTGCTATTAAATTATGAAAAGAGGTAGGTACATGAAATCCGAAGTACATATTAATGATTATAATTTATAACTTATGAGCATAAGTCTATATTAAATATTTATCGGTCAATACTCAATAACGATTATTCAATTTTATCTGTAGATATTAGTAAATACATTGTGTTGTTATTCATTATTAAAAATTAAAATTATATACATATATATATAACAGAAGATAATATATACGAGTATATTATTATTATTATATAATTATATATTATATATATATATATAAATAATATTAATAATATTTTGAGTTGATATAGTTAAAAACCAAGAGTTACTTATATTGCTAACTGATCATGCCATCATAGTGCTACTCAATCACAAGAGAACATTCCTTTGTATAGATCAAATTTAAAAGTTCCAGTTTCAAACCTTGACGACCTACGTAAATTGGAGTCCAATGAGGGGGGGGCTATATATTGTCGGAAAATAATTTGTCGGAACTGTATTTTGTCTGAAAGTGGTTTGTCGGAACCGTATTTCGTCAGAACCGTATTTTGTCGGAAAAATAATTCACCGGAAAGTATTTTGTCAGAATCGCATTTTGTCTGAAAAGTAATTCATCTGAAAATATTTTTTCGAAACCGTATGTTGATGGAAAAATATTTTGTCGGAAAATTTTTTTTCAGAAAAATAATTTAACCGAAAATATTATGTTGGAACCGTATTTCGTCAGAACCGTATTTTGTCGGAAAAATAATACATCGGAAAGTATTTTATCGGAATCGAATTTTATCAGAAAAAACTTAAGTGATTTCTAAAATAAAGAGTGTCTAACAATAAATGGTTCACTCCGTATATAAAATATATTACTGAGCTTTCTCCCTTTAAACGATTATGTTTTTTGAGTAAACCGTGATGTTGTTATTTTGTTCGGTCGACGGTGGTGAAGGCGAACCTAAATTATTTTAATATTTTGAGAGACGTTAACGCTCGCGAACGTTAAAAGAAGCAATATTTAACAGGATTTATGTGGACTCATCACATGGATTAAAATTATAAATTGAACTTTTTCAGTTAATTTTCATTGTCATATACATAATTAACAAAATGTATACCTACCAAAAATACCAAACAACACGAGCATACAACAGACAAAGTCGAAGCCACAGACCACTGAAGATACTTAAAGATAATATTATAGATAGGTACCTATATTACATTCTGAACGGATTGATGAATGTATTGATTTTACAATGATGTGTGTTTTTTTAAAATTATTTTAAGCTAGAAATTCATATACATTTTTCTTTTTAGATCTAAGAATTAAAAATGTAATACAAGGCTCCTAAAAGATTTTTACATTAGCAGTTGAAAAATAAAAGAAATGCATAGTCACAATTTTTTTTTAAAAGCATTCAAATTTTAATTTTGACAACATGCGTAGAAATCAC